ACACAGCTAACAACATCTATGGAATACATTGCGTACCAGTACGTAATGCAAAGGGTCAACCTATTCTTGAAATTTTCGATAAAAATGTATCTGATATTAGTGTTGGAAAATTTTCATTGCCGCTAAATGATTTAATTACGCGCAATTCAGAGGGAATATACAGTAAGAGAAATTGCTTGGAAAAAAGTGAACAAATCAATCATCCAAGGGGGTTTAAGTGCATAATACGACTTGAAGTTCAATTCTATTCTACTAGATTTGAAAGTGACCACTTCCATTTCAGCAAGGATACCATTGACATTGATGACTTGTACCGTCTTATCGGCATGACATTTAATGCTAGTGCTTTTGATGTTAGCAACAATTTAGCTCGCTACTTTAATTTTGAATCAGCGACGGATCTTTTTCACGTCCTAGCAGAACGTATTATGTTTGACAAACAACTAATGTCCATAAACATGCGTGTTTGGTCTACAGCTTTGATTGTCACATATATCAAGATTCTTTACTGGAATTTCCAAAGTGAATGGACGCTGTCCATTAACAGTTCGGAGCAATGGATTAGTTCTCAAGTTTATTTCATAGATGTAGAAGAGCGTTTATACGATGTCACGAAGAAATTTATCATGGATAGGTTTAACGTTACTATTCCTAAAGAACAAGAGAACGTTTTGTATCCATCCGGTAATTATTTTTTCCTCTCGTTTTGAACATGCGTGGATCGATTCAGTTGTACATACATCTAACAATTATTTCATTTAGTCATCGAAAAAATTGTTAGGCGATCCCTAAAGCGTCAATCAAAACCGGGTTTTTTCCTTCTTAACGGAAAGACAGCCGGCCTCTATGAGTATAAAAATTCAGGAGAGTTTTCTACAGATCTGGAGGACTGTTTCAGTAGTGGGCATATGAACGACGTTGAAGACCGAGTTAGGGCCACTGCGGTAACTCTGCAGTATTGGGAACTAGTTGCCACTGATTTTAGAAATGATTGGTATAATGGTTCTGTTAAGGCACGCTCTTGGTTGAGATCTCAATTGCAAAATGACATTCAGTTGGAGACAGAGGTTCTCGAATGCGCCCGGAAGTTTATTACCGAGAGATATGAAGTTGGTGATAGAACTGTCATATTTGATGTGGACCGAGTCCCTAGTTTTGTCCCGATAGCGACAGACAAAAGTACGGATTCCCCGCCTATTTCTCCACCCGTTTCTCCACCCGTTTCTCCACCCGTTTCTCCACCCGTTTCTCCACCCGTTTCTCCACCCGTTCCTCCGCCTGTTCCTCCGCCTGCTTCTTCTAAGGGAAGAGTAAGGCATGGGTTTGAAGAAAAAGGCCGTAACAAAGTGATCTCATATACACATTATGAAACAGGAGTAATTAATTCTATTAAGCAGTTTGTAATAGAGCCATGGGTCTTACCTCGTATCAAAACAGCGGTCATGCTGGATGATAAAAATGACCGGATACTGTTCATTGGTAAACACACGATACAGTTGTGGTCTAACTTTGCAGAAAATAGAACACTACAGTATATTTGGTGTAGACCAATTATAAAGCGAAATGGAGAAAACAATTCTAATAAAGAATATTTTATTGAGTGGGCAGAATTGACGAGACTACCAGACGATGGCTTTACTATTACTTTCGAATACAGGGTGGATGGCATCAGTGATAGTATGAAATTGGGATTCCAGTTGCCGCGTAAGAATGCTCCTGCCAGTTTCCGTACAGTAAGAGATGCATCGTTTGCTCTTGGATTTTTGAATTCATTTGAACATGAATCCTCGTGGTCAAAAGATGATTATCGGCGTTATGAAAAGCTTCTTGACAATTGTCAATCGATTATCTACCGTGCCATTTCATCTTCCGATGGCGATGTATTCGATCATGTTGAAGACTTTGCCAGTATTGAATCAAGTATGAGATCACATGACAAACCGTTTATACTCACATGGAGAAAAGGATCAATCTTGAAAATTTTAATGCAATTTGATTGTGAACGAGCCAATAATTTGATTGAGGAATTGTTGGAAAAAGAAAAAGTTACTCTGAAATTTTATGATACTGAACCGGATGAGTCAGATCTCTCTCATGCTATATCGTTGGGTTGTACCGAGAAAGTCCGTTCATTATTAAAATATTACTGCAAGAGAGCGGAGAATAAGAGGTCGGCAAAGGAGCCTAAACTCGAGAATTGTCTACAACTCGTTGTTCCTGTATTCAGTCAACTGTGTTCAAAACACCCTGGCATTGCTCTAGAATTGGTGAAAGATATCAGTTACTTTCAATTAAACAGACCCGCTGTATGGAGCCATAAAGAAGAGAAATTTGCCTTCTCAGAAATGGAAAAAACTGTTGATGACGTGTATAAGTCAGATGCGAGTGAAGCAGACTTTAAACGGAGCAGTAGAAATCGGCAGGTAATATTGTATTTCTGACTATATTTTTTGTTTAGCCTTCTATCATTCCAGTTATGATATTTTTAACATCAACCCTTCGTTTTACGACTGAATAGAACGACAGCCATCTGTATAATGTATGTTTTGTCCCTTTGCCGAATTTCACCCGGTATCTAGAGCCACCAGAATCCCGTCTCGGATATCTTAATGTATTTGGATGGCGCAAATACCTCTCTCCCTTTGCTAATGCGGTTCTTGATGCTCGATACGATATATTTAGTGAACCTGCCATGGAGGCCATTATTAATTTCAAATGGAGGAAATTTGCTAGGATACGATATATATTTCTTATTTGTTTATATTTCTTGTATCTTGCCTCATTTATGGCGGCCGTTACTCTAGATTCTGACAGAGTGCAACAGGGAAACGGGACCGAGCAACTAATCAAATTGCTCTCGTCTGTGGTGTTGTTATTGGGATTCATGTTTATTGGACTTGAGATTATGCAAATGATTGCATATTGTTCTTATGATTTAACCATATACAATTTGACTGATCTAGCCAGTACGGTATTGCCAATAATTTATGCTGTGGGGGCACTTTCTGGAAGCAATAGTAGATATCAATATGTTGGCAGCTCCATGTTCTTTGTCTATGCTAATTTTGTAAGTATTTATAATTGAAGCAGGCTGATTTGATGTTGGATCATTTTTAACCGAACTTGTCATTCTCTATTATAGATTCTACGACTCCGAGTATTCAAGTTTTTCGGAATACCAATATTTATGCTCACAGAAATATTTGACAGAGTGAAAGGGCTCTTTTCCGTAATTGCAATGATGATGTTGGCATCCGCACATATATACTGGCTGTTGTTTTCCTTCACGGAAGTTACAGATTTGGTAGGTAATAGCACAGTGATAAACGACTTTTCGACTCCTCAAAGAGCACTAGTTTCGGCCTTCTTTTTCATGGTAAGTAATTAACTTAAGAATATTCATCTAGTTCTCGTTAAATTGCGCAGTTAGATTTTAATTAATCTTGTTGTTGATAGACAGGCAATTTTGGCTCTGTTAGTGATGCGTTCGGCAATCCGACGATTGCACTTTTGACAATCACATTTTCGTTCATAGCCACAATTGTATCGTTTAACATCTGGATTGCGTTAATGGGTGACGTTATCGGTGATTCCAAAATTGTTAGTAATCAAGTTTGGCTTAAACTGAAAGCAGAGGTAAGCTTCAGACGGACACCTGAATATTTGTTGTGGCGTTTGTTAATTCCTCTCTTTGAACATTATAGCTCATATGTGACGTAGAGATGTATATGCTTACGCGGGATCAAAGACAACGACGTGATTTGTTTCCATATTTAATATATTACTACGCTACATATGATTCCATACGAGAATACAAGGAAAAACTTAAAAGAGAAGAGCTTTTGACATTAACTAGAACTTAATGGAAGAACCTGTTAGTTGAAGATTTATTGTTTCGTTTTGATAAAATTATACAATAAAAAAAAATAGATATTCAGGTTTTTAAACTTATTACATTCAGATTTATTTGAGCCACACAATGTCGGACTTTTTTTGGATGATCGTAGTTGCCTTTTTGCGTAGTTGAACGAGGATGATCTGTTTAATTAAACTGTGTGCTTTCTTCGGCAGAGTCAAAGGTTGTTGGTAGGAGTCGATGAAGGAATCTTTTGTCCCGTTTCTTTATCGACGATCTTGGACGCGGACGATGAGGATGTGGAGGCTGTGGATGATGTGTGTTGTATTTGATACATATCAAAGTTATGTAACTCTGTACATTATTTGTCGCCGTGTACATCTACTTCCCTGCTTGGAGCCTAGCTTGGCTTTCTTGGTTCGTTCATATAGATTTTCTCTGTCTATGCTGTGGTGAACAATTATCGAAATCAACCATTGGAAGCATAAAGTTCGGGAAGTGGCTCTGGCGCGCGTAACCAAGTACGAGCGTATGGCATTATTAATGATGGAATATGTGGTGACAAAGAACTTTGTTACAAGTGTTGTAAATATACTGAACTTTGAATACCCGTCATTGAGATTAGTCACTGCCCAGCAATTTCTAGTATGCTATGCGAACTTCGGCGAAGTTAGGGAATACCATTCGCATTAAGTAACGTTGTCTCTGTTTTATTTTCTATTTTAACCTCAAGTATGTTGCAAATGGATGAGCATTGCGGTTTTTATACAGGCAAGATAGTTTTGGGTCACGTTTCCATACGTATGATAACTCTTACGGCTATACAATGTGTGAGTTTCTCTAATGCTAAATATATATCTGTGAATTATATATAGTGAAGTATTTGCTTTATGTTCCAAAGGTCATAATGTTAGAGTGTATAAAGAAACTTCTATCGCAAGAAACTTTTATTCACAGAGGTGTTCGCTAAAAGCCAGTTTTATCTATCCACTTACATGACATGTAGAGTAGAGGAAGAGTTACTATGTTGTGGGATTGTACGACTTTATTGCAACGCAACGAAAGTCTTGTGTTACAATAAAGTCACATGAACTTTGATATAACTTGATCGACGTTAATATTAATAGGGATAGACATCAATGGAATGGCAACAGATCAAGATCCCACTACTATCTCATGGAGAGATCCTGACTGGATATCTGTCGTAAGTATACTGTTTTAGTTACACACAAAACAAATGCTCGTTACTGACTAACTGCCTTAGCAACCTGGTGGATTAAACACAGAAAATGTTCTCGATTATTTTGCTGGATCTCCTTTCTGGGATCCTCTATGTAACAACAACATTCTCAAAATGCAAACTAAATATAATGACTTGAAAGATTTTAACCTAGATTTGAAGTAAGTGGGAACTTTATATTAGTGTATTGAATAGGCTCGACCCACAGTATTGATTGAATTTGTTGAATGTAGGAAAATGACTGGAATTGAATATGAAGCTGCACACGAACGACCACCAGCTCTGTGGGTTATACGCAAACAGCACCGCACAAGTGAACAATATGGTGAAATATTCGATATTTACTATCGATCCTACGTAATTACTTTTCTTTGTTCAGACACTGACAACATACACGCTATTATCTCATTCTTTCTGTATCCAGCAGAGCCACTCGCTACTTATTATATTCTAAATACTAATATATTCCAAGCACCAGATCTACATTCAATATTGGGCAGTCGTATAGTAAGTCTGATAAGGGAAATGATGTGAATGTTGGAAGTATAGACATCATAAATATCAAGTCGACAGTGACAAACGAGTTGCTAATTCCTTTTGATACGAGTATTAATTATACAGTTTTCGGTGTTATCCTGTAGCTTGCAAGTCACTTTTGTCTGCAAACAGCATTCAAAGAAGCATATAAACGAGTAGAATTTCATCCAGCAACAGGGTATACATGGAGAACGGAAGACATGTCTCAGAAGACTGAGGATGATGCTCAAAGTAAGACTATGAAATATCGAACATGTTTTTTTTTAAGAATTAAGTACTCACTTTGTTTTTATTTCTTATTAAGAATCTCGTGTGTTACATCAGGTTTCAGCAGAATTAAGGGATTTCCAACTTGGTGTTACGCGAGCGATAGAAAGTACAAGTAGGAAAATGAATCAATTTCATCAGATTGCACTGTCACCTCAGGTGGATGAGGGTGAAGCAAATTTTCATCCTGAAGGCATGACATCAGATGATACTGGGAAGGTGAGATATAGGAGATTAAGTTGATGAAACTAGTGTGAATAATGGCTGATGTTTTGGTTTATTATATAGGGTGATCAAGGGCAAACTGGATCTACATTGCCAGGTGAGCCTATCTGGATACTTGATTAGCTTCAATTGATTGTTGTTTATGTTTATCACTTAATTTAATGTTATGTTCATCTTAATTCCCAGCCAAGAAGCAAAAAAAGAGTGAAGATGATGTTGCTAAGAAAAAGAAGAAAACCTCAAAATAGATGCTGTAACAATTACTCTTCAGCTATTTAGAATCTACACATTTTATAGTCATTGAATGTACAAAGAAAATCTAATTTACTCATGTTATCATGAAGATTTTTGTTTTGCAATGTATTTTCGTGTTCCTTGAGGTCAATTTTGTGATCTTTAGATTGCATTCATTTCACACAGGTCAAGGATGGATTCAAAGGCTTTGAGGGTAGGGTGATACTATTAATTTAAATCTAGTATTATCAAGTGATATTTCATCTGCTTGAATTGCATACTGTCTCTGGCTTTTTAAACTCCAGATCAATTTTGGCCTCTTTGTTGTAATACAGATGAAAACTAACTGAGAGAGATTTACAGCTCCATTCTGAGCACAAATGCAAACTTGGTACTTATCATTTAAAATTTATTTGATGGAAATTTGATTCTTTGTTTTCCAAGTTAAGCTATAGGTACTTAAATATTTGTGTTAGGAAACGCTAAATTATCGATAATGTATTGCTTATAATAACTTTAACATGAAAATTATGGATTCTTTTCATTCTACATTTATCTTTGAAAAATTATTATCACTCAGTACAAAGCTTCGTAAGAAATCCCCAGACCCAATATTCAATTGATAATCAGGTATTGATATTGATATAAGATCAGGGAATAGTACATGGTGTGTACGTGTGATGAAGAATAGTATTTACAACGTCGGAGTGTAAGCCAAACTATGCATTGGAGGCCAAATTTTCAGTTAAGAGTACGTTTGAGGGGCATGGATGAAAATTGTTTAGAATGTCGCAAGATAGGTATGGTGTGTTGATGAATACCAATAAGTCATTATTTTTAATTCAGCGTTCACTATATACACAGTGAAAGTCGATATAACGGACCATCGATATAACGGACCGTCAATAAAACGGACATTTTCTCTGGAACGGAATTTGTTTACTAAATAATATCTGATATAAAACTCACAAATCGATATTACGGACCCGTCGACATTACGGATTAAAACGCTGGTCCCGAACAGTCCGCTATATCGACTTTCACTGTGTACTTAATCACATACGTTTAAACAGCACTCTATAAACTACTCATTAAATATTAAATAGTAATACCACCACCAAACCCTTCTGCCATCCCACTATTTTAAGCCATCTTTCTCCAAAAACTCCCCATCAACCTTCACACCGCCTTCCCATGCGAATACTCTTCCCGGGACATCTCTCTCTCTCGCCTCAACGACATCTTCAACGCCTCCTAAACTCTCATGTCTTTTCCCAAGTGTTCGACCCACCGCATTATCTCTCTTCATCGCATACTCTTCACCACCATCGATACAAACACCATCAGCAATACCCAACACCTCTTGCATTTGTTGATTTTCTTCTGTTAGAGAGGATATTATCGTCGAACTGTCAATTTCCAATTGGGAATTGTACGTTTTTTGGATCAATTTGGCAGTCTCTGCAAGGCGAGAACGGAGATCATTGTTTTCGTATTGGAGAGCCTGAGTTCTTAACTGATATTTGTAAATGCATGTGAGCGGGTTTTGACAATTATTACGACAAGGGACGACAAATACAACAAGATTAAAACTTTATTAACTCACCCGCTCTTCTGCCATCTTTTCTTCAAATCTATAGTTCAATTGTTTCTTCGCCTGTTGTATCTTAATCTATAATTAGCAATGACAGTCAGTTCAAGTTCTTGTATATATCCCCTAATATGATATATGTATAGCTCTTCGCGAATGCATCCCTTTCCTACTTACAGCTTGCGTGCGAAACTTGCTGACAACGAGTCGTATAGTAGTCTCATACTCTTCTACAGTCTCAGTCAAGTTCGCATTCTCACTAATCAGCTTTTGATTCTCACATGCTAATTGGACGTTTTCGACGTCAAGAGGAGTTGATGTGTCTGTTAATGGTGGGACTGCAAAAAGAGAAGGATGATTGAACAAATTATAATAGTATTAAGAGATAAACTAGTAACAATGTGGTGGTGGGGGTGAATAGTAATGGATCATGGAAAGTACATGAGAAAACGATTACGTTTGTAATCCGTTCGAATTAATGGAAAATTGTATTGACTGGCTTGTTGCTGAATATATTTAGAGGGAGAAAGAAAAAAAAAAGATAGAAGAAATACAATTCCGAATTTTGTAAGCATACAAACAATCTACTACGAAAACGATTGATAGTTCGACTTACTCGACTTCGATTACGAATATTTTCATTACCTTCAATTCCTCGATATCATTGACTAAGGATTCCATGTTCTCTCTATTCTTTGCCAATGCATTTGACAGTTGACCAGCCAACTCCCATAACTCGGCCACTTCCTTGTCCGAATCAGTATTACTCTCTAGCGTCATTGTTTGCATGTATGTCGGTAAAGTCTGTGGGCAAAGAAATTCTTGTTCTAATATATGCACAATGATGATCTTGCCGATAATGGCTAGTCTACCATTTTACATGTCGGGGTTATTTGACATTCTATACCGTTGAAACTATGCGAGTGAGAAGCATCACCATCTGTTGATGTTTTGGAACTGCTTAATGTTCTCAAAGGTGTTGTGCTTGGTGGCTATCATGGAGGGCTTATTGCACAGTTTTTGTTTTTTTGGGGTGTTGCAGCAAGTACTGCTATTACTTATACTGTCAGCAGTCAGTCTTCACTTTCGATGATGTTAGGAGATTTTCCGAGGCATATAAAGAGCTAACTCCTTATCTTGAAGATGATAAAACAGTGCATACCATATAATCAAGTTAATTGAGGGTGGTGTATTACCTGATAACGCGAATGGCTTATTTACAACCTAAATGCGTGATTTACTGATGACAGAGACGAACTTGTTACAGAAGCATATGTGAAGGTGGCAGAGGAAGAGTATAAAATTCAGGATGAGGGTGTGATTAAGTATGTATAAATTATTTTATTTAGCCACTATCATAGTTCTGACACTTAATTTTTAGGACAACGAAAGAATTGGAACTGATTTAATGTAAGACGAATAGTACAGACATATTTTGCAACATTAAAACGTGCAGCAGGAAGGTCAGGGAAGAAGATGAAGGATGAAGCGACCTGAAGTAGGTGAAATAAGCGGTTAATAAACATAAGCATTATAATTAGGAGTTAAGCCTTTGTTTATCCCCCCCCTTTCCAATTTCTTTACCAATAGCATCTAATTCTTGCGGAGAAATTTTTTGGGTCAGAAAGGCAATTATTCGAAAGTGGTTAACTCAGGAGATTATCAAAAATAGCTGGCAAAAACCAGGCATCCTACCGATTACGAATTCATCTCCGCGTTACCACAGAAGTGGAGCAAGATACAATAGATATTCTTTTCAAGAGATGCCATAGGAAAGTAACATGACGGCGGAAGGTACGATACTTGTGTTTATTAACCAACGATGCTTAATATTAATTTATTGAATTTGTTAAACCCACAGAATTTATTTGTTGCGGACAAGTCAATTTCAATTGCTGATATGGTAAATGACGACGACATTATTAAAATGGTCTTATCCGAGAGCTACAAATGAATGATTGTAATGACAGCAGAGTCAGTGAGACTTGGAAAAAGATTTCGCTCGAGGCGGCGTTGGCCGCTCTTAAAATGATGGCCGAATTTATTGAACAATTTATTTGTTGCATGAAAAGATGTGGTTAATTCACAGCGTTAACGGAGTGGAAAGTCTTAAGCAAGATGTTTTAGATCGTTTTTGTGACAACGTTGGATTGAATGAAACAATAAAATATTAGATTTATTTAGGTGAAATAGACACTAGACAAAACTGGCACCTCAGATAATTTCTAACCCTTATTGTCATTCTTTACGTACATATTTTTATCGCAATTAATCATGTTTTATTTATTGTTCTCATCCGTACATACAGCAGGCGTGCTCGTTCATGTTTAGATCAACACTTTCTCCGTCCAGTTTAACAAATTTTCGTTGTCTGCTTATTGATCTCTGAAATCTGTGTCTCTATATTTCTCAATTCAGTTTCGGCCGTCTCGGAAGTATGCTGCGAGCTTCAATTACAGCTATGTTATCAATACGTAACACAAATAATTATGCAGTAGACTTGTAGAGTTGTACCTTTTGGATTGCTCAAACGGATTGCATGGTCCTTTTCATTTTTTGTTCCCACTTCCATTTTTGGACAGAAACAGGATGAAATAAATACGTCAAATTTCCCTTATTCTAAATGCAGTAAATAAATCATCGGTTGACAATCTAAACTAATCTCTAGTCAATCCTGACATTTGGAATATTTGAATAACTCACGCGCGATAGTTAAGCTCCTACTCAAAGACAATTCTCTGGGACAGTTGTTTGGTATCCATGCTGACGGCTATAACAGCGCACAATATTGGACCCACTATTGAAACTATTCTTCAGCATCCCAATAACATCTTCCGAATATGTCTTAGCTATCATCATCAACATACTATTAATTTACTCCTAACACGTTTGTATACGCAAAACATATAACAAACTCTCTTCTTTTTCATCCTCATTTTCTTCGTTCCCCCCATATCGTCTACCTTAGCTTCACCATTACGTGAACGTTAATGTAATCTCTCATTATCATAGTGATCTTCGCATTTATACCATCCGAGAGTTCGGCTGTGCGTCCTGAAGTGTTGGAGAGAACGATAAAAGGGCAAAGCACGTAAACAAAGATAGCTTGTTAGGAAGGACATACATTCAACAGTGGAAAAATAGTGAATGGAAGCAAGTAAATATAAATGTAATAAGGTATACATATCAGGATGTAATCACATACTTTTTGTCTTGGATGTTTGTTTAATTACCTTCGCATCTGTAGATATGTTCTTAGTAACAATATCATTAAAATCTTTCCCGAGGGTAAAGCCCAGGATCGTTTATTGATAAGAGCGGAGTGGAATCAAGAGTTTCTTTTGGAGCAGGTACACCTTCATTATCGCTATTATAATCATGATCATAGTATGTATTTGGGAGAAATCATCAAATTGTCTCGGAAGGAATCATCCTCATAATTTCATGACAACCAACTTACTTACATTTAAATAAAAATTAAATACATAATTTCTATCAACCACCTTGCTAGTATTGATGCTCACCGCCGTGCGCAAAATGGACAATTTCTCCAGTAGATATTGATTCTAACTGACTTTACCTTGTCCTAACGAATAAAATAAAGAACAAAACAAATTAAAAATCCCAAAAGTGCCGGTAGGCGCATTCTAGCACTTTTGGGCGGATAATGTAGTAAAAAATCGAATCACAAAGAAGATATGCCTATTCAGACGTATCCTAAAGGTAACCCGATAGAGATATCCTAGTTACCTTCTGGGTTCTTCATGTTTAAGATAAAACAAAGTTTCAAACTTTAGAGTTGTTTAAAGCTTTTTTCGCTAACGTTCAAGCTGTTTGACAATCACGGGATTCTAATTTCGGATCTCTCATAATTGCTCCTAAACATGTCCTGTAGGTACAATGTTCTGTATCTTTACTTCCGAAATCGATAGTACAGAACATACTCTAACTAAAGAAACTTACCAAGTCCCATGAATTACTTATTTTTAAAGTAGCAAAGCCGTGGAATTTGACCATGTATACTGATTCGAAGGGGATAGACAACTTTTGCAAAGCTGGGATTTTACGAGAATGCTCATTAACCAGCCATGGGACACTCACATGAGAGATGTATATGAGCGATTGGATGAGGTACCAATATATGACTATGTCCTATCAGCTTGTAAAATCGCTTGTTTGACATATGATATTCAATTGCGTGGCTTATCGCGATATAACAGTAAGTGATAATATTAAGTAGTACCAATATGTGTCATTTAACACGCAAACACGCGTCTGTCGGACTTGTTAACCAGTGAAAAATATTTTACTCGAGTATCACGATTGTCTCCGTAAATAAGAACAATAGTATCAGCATAACACACGCGATATGATGTAATGATGTGTTCACTAAGCAATATATTGATACCTTCTATTGGTTGACAGTGATCGTTGTGGCTGACTCTCACACCCCTTACTGCGTAAATCGCGACAACATTTATACTTTGCATGACAACAATTGACAATATCAAGTAGTACACATTCTCATCTAACACGCAAGCCCGTGTCTACATTTATACTTATAAGGCCGCGCACGACAACAATTGATGATGTCAAGTGTCATCTAACGCGCGAACACGCGTCTACTCATACATATATATATACCCTGTCTCCCCTCCATAGCACATGTATCGCTCATAACAAACTCTCCTCCTCCAAACGATGTTATCAACAAGTCAATATACAACGAACAACGCCTTTGTTGATCCATATTACGCACATACGACGACACTTTGCTACAACGAACAACGCCTTTGCTGATTTATATTACGCACATACGACGACGCTTTGCTACAATGAACAACACCTTTGCTGATTTATATTACGCACATACGACGACACTTTGCTACAACGCAACGAACAACGACTCGACTTTGCTGATCTTTATTACGCACATACGACGACACTTTGCTACAACGAACAACGCCTTTGCTGATGCTGTTATTCCATATCACGCACATACGACATTTTGCTACAAGCATTTCGTCCTAGTCATGACATTAAACTGACAAGTGAAGTACCAATTTGATAATTGTAAGTAGATGGAAAACCTACGAATGGGTGATTACTCTCATATTATCAAATTGGTTTAAGAATATTAGACAATGAATATACGACGATTACATGATAAGGTAAGTCGTCCTGGTCATGACATTAAACTGACAAGTGAAGTACCAATTTGATAATTGTAAGTAGATGGAAAACCTACGAATGGGTGATTACTCTCATATTATCAAATTGGTTTAAGAATATTAGACAATGA